GAGAACGCAAACAAACCTCGAGTAGATGTCACAAGATAGCGTGATGCGCGAGGGACGTTGCTGCGGGAATGCAGAAAGTGCCGACAAATGCGGAATCGCAGAGCAGTGGATGAGTCAGTGCGTTCCTCGTTTTGCGTTCTATTTCGCCAACGGTGCTGCAGCCTTTCTCCAGAAACCTCCAAGTCAGAGAGATCGCTTACCTAAGCTTCTGCACCCAACTCCAGTGTCGCCACCTCCTGACGGATTGTCGGCTGTGTGCAGTTCGTGTGTCGTACTTATCTGATGAACCTTGCGTAGTTCCATACATTAAGACCTATTTATCAGGATTTGTGAGATTCTTATCAATAAGAGTCGGGGCACGGCGACGCCCACTAGCAGAAGCACTCACTGTTCAGCGTCTCTCGACTACGTTCTGAAGGGCGTGAAGCGGGTGCAGGCAAACCATGGGGGGTAATCGCCGAGAACGCTTGCCGATAACACCCAGATGTATTGCGGAAGTTAAGGGGGTATGGACTCCACATCTGCCGATCCGACAGCAAGCTCATATGGGCGGCCTGCTGCCTCTGCTTCTTCGCCTTCCTGAGGTGGGAGAGATGACGACTCCTGATGTGAAGTCGTATGATCCGGGAGTGCATCTGTGCTTGTCAGATGTGGCGGTGGACAGTGCTCGAAACCCGTCATTTGTCCGGGTCTCGATTAAACAATCGAAGACGGACCCATTTTGGCAAGGATCTGTCTATTCGTAGGACGTACAGACGCCGAGCTCTCTCTGCCCAGTGGCAGCGATCTTCTCTTTCCTACTTTGCAGAGGTTCAGCCCCCGGCCCTCTGTTTAGGTTTGCATCCGGGGAATACCTCACGAGAAAGCGTTTTGTGGAACTAGTCAGAGCTGCCTTGACTAGAGGCGGCATAGAGCAATCAAAGTATTGTGGTCACACTTTTAGGATCGGTGCCACAACAACAGCTGCCGCACGGGGTATTGAAGACAGCATCATTAAAACGCTAGGTAGGTGGGAGAGTGTTGCCTACCTACAGTTATGTCCGTATTCCCAGGGAGCGCCTGACACAGTACTCCAGAGTCCTGGGGTCGCCTGGTTAGCCTCATCTTGATTGTCCGTCATTTGTTTGTGGGTCATCCAAGTAATCTGCATTCCACTGTCATATATAGTTGTTATTTTTATGTTGGTGTCAAGGGTGTAAGGTATGTGTTTTGTTGGGAGGATAGGCCTGTGGCCAACCTTGGGCATGTTCATGGAGGAGGGTGTTCCCCTCTTCCATGGTTCCTCCCCAAAACACGTCTTATGACGTAAGGGGAGGGGCTACCCTGCCCCTCACTTTCGCCAAACCACACAAGTCTATGGCTTGTGGCATGCTGTGGGAGCGTCAGGGAGCCCGGTAAGACGTTAAATAGGGTTTAAACCCAGTTAACGTCAGAGGGCAGTGCAAGTGGGATGAGAGCCGCGCATGCGCGTACGTGGTGACCGCAAGCACACGTTGCAGGATCTGCGTCACTCTGTTTTGGGCCTACTGTAAAATTAGTGGTTGCACTTGAATGCTCAAAATTAGGCCCAAGCCCATGGGATGGATCGCTTTAGAAACCTGAAAAGGCACCAAGGAACAAATTTGGGTCTCAGACTGGACATACACAGCATAATAATGTTTTCCTCTGCAAGCAGACACAGAAATGCTGCCATTGAAAGGAGAGATTATACAGTGCTCACTGGCCATTCCTTGGTGTTTCGTTGTTAGCTTCGAGCCCACTTTCAGTAATGTGGGTATGCTAATACAAGCAAAGGTTTGATGGTCTAGATGTGTCTAGTGTTGGTAACGCAGCATTTTGCTTGTGCCTCTTTTTACTTACCTCTTGTACAAGAGCAAACAACACAGCAATCACTGCTATATAACGTGTACGACAATAATACCTTCCATGGGAAAAAGGCCAATTACAAACACTTTAGAGCTATACGCGGCCAAAAATAGTACCTAAGTTCAAAATGTAGACTCTGTAAATTCCGTTATGTAATTTCAGCACACCAATGTGTGTAGGATGTGAAAAATGTGCTGTTTTACTGTGTCAAGTAAACCCGCTATCTGGATGAGTAGAAAGTACACACTATTTAGCTAGGTAGCTAGGTGCATGCAACACATGTGTCATATGCTGGGACAACTACAACCTTTTCTTGTTGGGCAACAGCACATCCAACCACACACCATAGTGTGTCAAGTAAACACAGTATTTGGATGGGTTAAAAGAACACAATTCGAAGTATGTCATTTGCTGGGACAACTACATACTTTATGAATGTTAAAACAACCAGCTGGCGATGTGTGTCGAAAACACACAACGAATTTTACAGTGTAAACTACAGTTTGACGTAAAAAAACAAACCTGTTTACCCTCTGATAAAAGTTTTGTGTTGAAGTAGTGAATTTAGGTACAAACACTCTTTTAGTAAAAACTCTTCAACTGTGTCTACTTTCAATCAATAAGTGTTTTTTACGCATTATACAGTTTCGACCTCTCTGCAATCATATCAGTTTCCTTAGCATAGGGTTTTGCACTGTAAACACCACCGAAAACAGTAAATGCTGAGGCAGATAAAACGGTTGCTGAATGTTGACTTTCTTGTTAGCTTCGAGCCCACTTTCAGTAATGTGGGTATGGTATTACAAGCAAAGGTTTGACGGTCTAGATGTGTCTAGTGTTGGTAACGCAGCATTCTGCTTGTGCCTCTTTTTACTTACCTCTACTAGGGGCTTGTACAAGAGCAAACAACACAGCAATCACTGCTATATAAAGTGTACGACAATAATACCTTCCATGGGAAAAAGGCCAATTACAAACACTTTAGAGCTATACGCGGCCAAAAATTGAACCTAAGTTCAAAATGTAGACTCTGTAAATACCGTTATGTAATTCAGCACACCAATGTGTGTAGGATGTGAAAAATGTGCTGTTTTAGTTGTGTCAAGTAAACCCGCTATCTGGATGAGTAGAAAGTACACACTATTTAACTAGGTAGCTAGGTGCATGCAACACATGTGTCATATGCTGGGACAACTACAACCTTTTCTTGTTGGGGCCAAAACAGCACATCCAACCACACACCATAGTGTGTCAAGTAAACACAGTATTTGGATGGGTTAAAAGAACACAATTCGAAGTATGTCATTTGCTGGGACAACTACATACTTTATGAATGTTAAAACAACCAGCTCGCGATGTGTGTCGAAAACACACAACGAATTTTACAGTGTAAGCTACAGTTTGACGTACCTGTTTACCCTCTGATAAAAGTTTTGTGTTGAAGTAGTTAATTTAGGTACAAACACTCTTTTAGCCAAAACTCTTCAACTGTGTTCTACTTTCAATCAATAGTTTTTTTTACGCATTATACAGTTTCGACCTCTCTGCAATCATATCAGTTTCCTTAGCATAGGGTTTGCACTGTAACCTTTTACTAAAGTGCACTCTCACTCAGCATGTGCCAACATACACCCAGGACACTCTGCTTTCTAAGTGAGCACTCCACCAACTGAGGTACCGGGGCAACTCAGCTGGTAGGGGTTCAACACAACACAACACAAAGGCAACCTCAACCTCAACCATCGCGCTATGAAATACTATACTCTCACTCAGTATGTGCCAACTACACCCAGGACACTCTGCTTTCTAAGTGAGCACTCCACCAACTGAGGTACCAGGGCAACTCAGCTGGTAGGGGTTCAACACAACACAACACAAAGGCAACCTCAACCTCAACCATTGCGCTATGAAATACTATACTCTCACTCAGCATGTGCCAACTACATCCAGGACACTCTGACTTCTAAGTGAGCACTCCACCAACTGAGGTACCAGGGCAACTCAGCTGGTAGGGGTTCAACACAACACAACACAAAGGCAACCTCAACCTCAACCATCGCGCTATGAAATGCCATACTCTCACTCAGTATGCATAATTGTTGGATATCCCTAGGCAACCGACATGTATGAAGCTAGGTAGTGGGGGATTGTATCAACCTATACAATCCTACATGTGCAAGAAGGGTTCATACATGTCGGTTGCCTGCTAGGGATATCCAACAAATCTGCTGCAGTACTCAGACAGGACAGCATTCGCCCTTACAGGGCTCATGCTGTCCTGTCTGGGCACTGTAACATATTATATTTATATTGGTGTATGCATTGGTGTATCGAGGTATATTGTGTATTGTGTATCCTGCATGCAGAATGTGTATTACCAACTGTATGTATAATAAAAAGCACTCGAAAGTGCATAACCCTCGCCACTTTATTCCAATCACTTTGTCGACATTCTTTTGCACATGCATGTTCAATACTAGTTACTACTACAGCAAAGTGAGAAGCACTTGACAGTACATAACCCACACCACTTTATTTCAGCAGCCAATGGCTAGCTACACGACTTCTTCACTGAACGGATTCACAGGGGCGTGTGCTGCTCTCGCTTCACCGGCAATCTCGATCCTACTCAACTTTACCATCAATACAGGCAGACGAGCAAATCTTCTCCACACGCGCAAAGCATCTAGCATCTCTAGCAGTACAGCGATCGTCAGCGATCTCTATTTGACGCACACTCACATCGGCAGCCGTCCGTTTCACCAGCTTCCCCGGCCTTCTCCGCTCCAGAATCTTATTTTACCATGCATGCCTCCTACTTGATAATATGTCCACGTTTCACGCCTCAGGTTGCCGTGGTTCCGAGAAACGGTTGGACGGACAGACGGACGATGGACACACGCACGCACAACACACGACACATACACACAGCTAGGTCTCACACAGAAACTCCTCGCTGCGCATGCGCGCACGAGGTGATAAGTGGGTGCCCAGACAGGACAGCATGAGCCCTGTAAGGGTTCTGCAACAGCTGTCCTGTCTGGGTCCTGCAACAGATTTGTTGGATATCCCTAGGCAAATGACATGTATGAACCCTGCTTGCAGGTGTAGGATTGTATATGCTGATAAAATCCCCCAGTGCCTAGCTTACTGTGCTGACACTTGCTACTATAATACTCACCCATCCAAGACAGCAGCTGTTCATCAACACGTCTTCCTTCCCACTGGACGCGATCTCACGGGCATGTACCTGCAATCGTAAACAATTCCTCCGATAAAAGATCCTCAAAACCTCTCTAGAAAGGACACTTCAATCTCCTCTAAATCCTGGCTTCATTGGGTTGCAATTCCTTGTTGTTCACATTCTACTGCCATTCTACTACACATTCTACTGCCATTATGTTCTGCCATTCTACTACACATTCTACTACACATTCTACTGCCATTCTACTACACATTCTACTGCCATTCTACTACACATTCTACTGCCATTCTACTACACATTCTACTGTCATTCTACTACACATTCTACTACTGCCATTCTACGTTCACTTCTACTGCCATTCTACTACACATTCTACTACACATTCTACTACCTTCTACTGCCATTCTACTACACATTCTACTGCATTCTACTACACATTCTACTACCATTCTACTACACATTCTACTGCCATTCTACTACCTGCATTCTACTGCCATTCTACTGCCATTCTACCATTCTACTGTCTTCACTGCCATTCTACTACACATTCTACTGCCATTCTACTACACATTCTACTACACATTCTACTACACATTCTACTGCCATTCTACTACACATTCTACTGACATTCTACTACACATTCTACTGCCATTCTACTACACATTCTACTGCCATTCTACTACACATTCTACTGCCATTCTACTACACATTCTACTGCCATTCTACTACACATTCTACTGCCATTCTACTACACTTCTACTTTACACTTCTACTGCCATTCTACTACACATTCTACTCCATTCTATACACATTCTACTGCCATTCTACTACACATTCTACTGCCATTCTATTACACATTCTACTGCCATTCTACTACACATTCTACTACACATTCTACTGCCATTCTACTACACATTCTACTGCCATTCTATTACACATTCTACTGCCATTCTACTACACATTCTACTACACATTCTACTGCCATTCTATTACACATTCTACTGCCATTCTACTGTCATTCCACTACACATTCTACTGCTATTCTACTACACATTCTACTGCCATTCTACTGCCATTCTACTGCCATTCTACTGCCATTCTACTACACATTCTACTACACATTCTACTGCCATTCTACTGCCATTCTACTACACATTCTACTACACATTCTACTGCCATTCTACTGCCATTCTATTACACATTCTACTGCCATTCTACTACACATTCTACTACACATTCTACTACACATTCTACTGCCATTCTACTGCCATTCCACTACACATTCTACTACACATTCTACTACACATTCTACTACCATTCTACTACACATTCTACTGCCATTCTCTAACACTACACATTCTACTGCCATTCTATTACACATTCTACTGCCATTCTACTACACATTCTACTGCCATTCTATTACACATTCTACTGCCATTCTACTACACATTCTACTGCCATTCTACTACACATTCTATTACACATTCTACTGCCATTCTACTACACATTCTACTGCCATTCTACTACACATTCTACTGCCATTCTACTACACATTCTACTGCCATTCTATTACACATTCTACTGCCATTCTATTACACATTCTATTACACATTCTACTGCCATTCTACTACACATTCTACTGCCATTCTACTACACATTCTACTGCCATTCTATTACACATTCTATTACACATTCTACTGCCATTCTACTACACATTCTACTGCCATTCTACTACACATTCTACTGCCATTCTATTACACATTCTACTGCCATTCTACTACACATTCTACTACACATTCTACTGCCATTCTATTACACATTCTACTGCCATTCTACTGTCATTCCACTACACATTCTACTGCTATTCTACTACACATTCTACTGCCATTCTACTGCCATTCTACTGCCATTCTACTGCCATTCTACTACACATTCTACTACACATTCTACTGCCATTCTACTGCCATTCTACTACACATTCTACTACACATTCTACTGCCATTCTACTGCCATTCTATTACACATTCTACTGCCATTCTACTACACATTCTACTACCATTCTACTACACATTCTACTGCCATTCTACTGCCATTCTACTGCCATTCTACTACACATTCTACCACACATTCTACTACACATTCTACTACACATTCTACTACACATTCTACTGCCATTCTACTGCCATTCTACTACACATTCTACTGCCATTCTACTACACATTCTACTGCCATTCTACTACACATTCTACTGCCATTCTACTACACATTCTACTGACACATTCTACTCCATTCTACTGCCATTCTACTACACATTCTACTGCCATTCTACTACACATTCTACTACACATTCTACTGCATTCTACTGCCATTCTACTACACATTCTACTGCCATTTCACTACACATTCTACTGCCACTAGTGCATACAAACCTTAGTCAGAGCTGTAACTCCAAGTTTAGAGGTCGCATAGGCAGAGTTGGACCATCCCTTCTCCTTGTGGCTACCCGCGGTCACATCATCAACAAACTGCTTCATCAGCGCCACCAGCTCCCCCTCTGTAAGTTTCGGATCCGAAAACTTCTTCTGGAGCTCAGAGCTGACTTGACTTAGTTTGGATACCATCGAAGACACGTTTACGATTCGACCGTGGGGACGAACGAGCGGGAGAAGGGCGCGTTTAATGTTCAGAGTTCCAGTAAAATTGATTCGAACGGTGTTTGTGGCTTGCTCGAGGAAGGGAGCAGTGGAAGCCATTTTGTACGCTATGGCGGCATTGTTGATGAGCACATCGAGACCCCCGTAAGTAGAGGAGAGGTAATTCTTTAAACGTTCGATGGATTCAGGTGAATCGATGTCCAACTGGTGGAATTTCGGTTTTAACCCCTCTGATTCCAGTTTCTTGACTGCTTGCTGACCGAGCTCTTCATTCCTGGACCAGACATGCAAACATTGTATGTGCAACTCTGATAAATTAATCTGGAGAGATCTTATGTACTATAATATTATATAATTATATATATAAAAGATAGTGGTGTTCGCCATTTGCAGGTTACAGAACTAGGTACAGGACTAAGCAGACAAATTCTAAGAACTATAGCTAGCTAGCTACTAACAAACAGGAAGCACTTCGTCGTTTGCTCTAGCTAGCTACCTGGCTGTGAGGTAGACAGCTCCGTCGTATTGTCTGCACAGAGATCTGACAATAGCCAGACCTATTCCCTTGTTAGAGCCTGTCACCACCGCAACCTTCACCGAACTCATCTTCTCGGCAGTGTGTCCTTGCTTGCTCGGGGTGTCCTCCTTGCCTGGTTTGTGCAGTCGATCGAAAGGGCGGTGCAGCCAGCTGTAGGGGGCGTGGCTCAGAACCCGCGCATGCGTGTTAATACAACTCCTCGTGCTCTGTCTGTTGTTGTTGGGAGAAAAGGAGAGAGAGAGAGAGAGGGACTGGAGAGAGGGCGAGATGGCTGGGGTTCCTCCTCTACCTATTACTGCCTTCACGGCTCTCACAGATATTGCCGAAGACGAGCAGGTTTGTCTTTTCAAACATGAGAAAGTATATACACACATCAAGCCTCAGTAAAGACTTTCTCTAAAGCTGAGCAATTGAGGCTTGCTGGGATGTAAAGAACAAGGAAATGACCTACACTGTTGTACTGAGTTTGGCATAGCTTTCTGTATATTAGCAGACAGGCTTCACTGAGCTGATAAATAATTATGATGATTCCAGTGATTTTTAGTTTGTTTTTTGTATCAATTGACAGAATAATGCACAGCCATATTCAATTCTACCACTTTCCCCACAGTGTCAGGAGCTGGAGCAGTATCTCACTGGTAAGGGGGCAGAGTTCAGCAGCGAACCAGACGGTGAACTGAGCGAGCGGTTCCTGCCCATCATCAAAAACTGTCACCTTGTCTTCCACAGCACCGAGCTCAACCATCAAGGTTTGAGCTTCTCAGATCTCAAGTCCTGGCTCGCAATACGGTTGAGCCCCTCTCCCAGGACACCCCCTGCAATAAGGACACTTCTCTAATAAACGAACCTTTTCTTTCGCCACAAACAACTCCTTTTTTGTGTCCCTTTTTCCCCTCTCCCCCTATTTAATTTAAACACCCTTTTTCTCTCACTATCCATCTCTCCATCTCCATCAACCCCATTTTTTCTTGTCCCCTCTGTTTTCCAGTGTCTCAAACTAAACTTCAAGGTCACCTGTGTGCAGTGCACATGTTCCATATGTCAAATATACACTATCAATATACACTTGTTGATGTTTATATACTTGCCACACGTTCTAGATATAATTATATCCTCAATCTTCTTAGGCTGGGTTCGCAATTTCCCGGTCGTGCCTTGTCGCGTTGCGAGGAGGTTAGATCCTTGCAATGCCGCACGTGGCTTGATGGGGTGGAAGCTCTGTATTCCTACTCCATTTCTTTCCCTCTTCTTTTTACCTCCCCCCTGCCCCCCTTTCAGAAATCGAGGGGTTCTTTTACACAGTGGTGTCTCTCTTCCACGTGGTGTCTGCTGACAATGCCCACCGCTACATGATGGAGTTTCTGGACCAACTGACCACTCGAGCCTCAAAAGAAAACGGATCCTTCATTCTCAGACTGTAAGTATATATATACAGTGGAACCTCTGAACAAGGGACACTATGGGGCCAATGATTTTGTCCCTTGTAGAGAGGTCGTCCCTATCTCGGAGGTCAAATAATACACTAAAGTATTAAGCATGGGGTTGAAACAAGTGTCCCTTGTAGAGAGGTTGTCCCTATCTCGGAGGTCAAATAATACACTAAAGTATTAGCATGGGGTTGAAACAAGTGTCCCTTGTAGAGAGGTTGTCCCTATCTCGGAGGTCAAATAATACACTAGTATTAGCAGGGGGTTGAAACAAGTGTCCCTTGTAGAGAGGTCGTCCCTATCTCGGAGGTCAAATAATACACTAAAGTATTAGCATGGGGTTGAAACAAGTGTCCCTTGTAGAGAGGTCGTCCCTATCTCGGAGGTCAAATATACACTAGTATTAGCAGGGGGTTGAAACAAGTGTCCCTTGTAGAGAGGTCGTCCCTATCTCGGAGGTCAAATAATACGCTAAAGTATTAGCATGGGGTTGAAACAAGTGTCCCTTGTAGAGAGGTCGTCCCTATCTCGGAGGGTCCCTTATCGGAGGTTCCACTGTACTTATATATAGTTTGGAGAATGGAATCTCTGAATAAGGGACATGCTGGGAGATGCGGAATGTGTCTTTACACTTTATAGAGAGGTGTCCCTTATTCTGAATAAGAATGTGTCAGAACCAGGTGTCCTATTTTAGAGTAGTGTCCTAATATGGGGCGGCTTGCAGTCGTGTTTAGTCTTCTATTGAACAACTGAAATGGCATGGTAATTGTGGGGATTTCCCCCTGTAAAGATGGTAATTGAGGATGTCAATTGGGGGTTCCCTCCCCAATGATGATGTAATTGGGGGTTTCCCTTCTCCCCGATGATGATGTAATTTGCGTCCGAGGTGCTATGTGAAGGTGGTAAGCCTGCCACCTGCTATCACTGGCTCACCATGATGACAACATTCAAAACATCTGAGGGGTCTCCGTATTCCCTCTGTATGTGAAAGGTTTTTAAAGAACCACGACCTACTCGGTGCTTCATAATTCAAAAGTCACCCATATGCCGTCTTAAGGTTTTCTGTAGTTGATGTACGTAGCGACGTCTGTATTGCACATATGCATTTCTTGATGATGTAATACAGTACACGCCGAAAAAAACGTTCCCACTACGCGTGCGACTGCCATCCACCAAACCGCGCCTCAACATGGCAAGAGCAGCCCATCGATCCCCTCCGCCGTCAGCACTGTCGCTGTGTCAACGCCGTGTGGATCTCCTGGCCGTAGTTAGCTAAAGCTGCGTGGGGCCACGCTGCTTAGTGTAGGACTGTAGCCTGTAGCTGGGTCTTGGTACTGCGCAGTAGCAGGTCTATGGCTTCCACCGTAGTACACCGTAGCAAGACCGTAGCTCTTACTACGGTGTGACTGTACTACGGTACAGTAGCGGGAACATTTTTGGCTGTACTGTACTTGCCCCACTTTTGTTGTCATACTTGTGTTAGAGCGAAAAAAACTGCCGCGAGTTTTTAGGAACAAATATTTATTGGCAGCACACAAAAATATTTTTTATTTTTTTGAGTAGTGTCCTATATTCAGAGTTAAATGTGGCTTGCAAACTGGTTTAGTGTTCTATTGAACGGCTGAAATGGTGTGTAAAGAATGGTAATTGGGGATGTAATTTGGGTGTTCCCTCCCAATGATGATGTAATTGGGGATTTCCCCTCTCCCCGATGATGATGTAATTTGCGTCCGAGGTCCCATGTGAAGGTGGTAAGCCTGCCACCTGCTATCACTGGCTCACCATGACGACAACATTAAAACATCTGAGGTCTGCCTACATAAAAACCTGCTGCCCTACGCACACATGCAGCACAGCTATGGATAACAGTGGAACCTCTGAACAAGGGACACTATATATGTGGGCCAACGATTTTGTCCGTTGTAGAGAGGTCGTCCCTATCTCGGAGGTCAAATAATACACTAAAGTATTAGCATGGGGTTAAAACAAGTGTCCTTTGTATAGAGGTCGTCCCTATCTCTGAGGGTCCCTTATCAGAGGTTCCACTGTTAATATACACTCATCCTTCCTCCTCTTCCCCCACTGCAGACTGGGTCTGACATTCGACCAGTTTGAACCGACCAATCAGCTCTGTCCCCTCATTCTCACCAGGCGACTAGAGGTGGCCTGTAGGACTGGACTTCAGTCCTCATTATCTCTTGACCTCAACAAGGTCGGTATTGGTTTGGATATCACTAAACAGGTCAATTCGAATCAGCTATGCACTAACACTAAACATTACATTTGGCTACAGAGGCCATTTTTGACTAGGATACCATATAGCAGGTTTATGTTCCAAGCAAAATGTGATTTTCATGCACTAGTGTACATTTTAACCCCTATATATTATGTCCACGCAGTTTTAAAAAGCAAGATTTGCGTATAACTGCAATGTTCAAAAGTTGTGAATGAATATGTATGGCGTGAAAAGCACACGAACAAGTCAATATTCAAATGAAAAGCACTGAAGTGCAAACCCTCGGCGCATTGTGACGCGCACACGTGAGTAAACGCATGCGCTGTATCACTAATTGATGGGCTGGGTTTAGTTCTGGCCATCTCGCGCAGAGTCTGACGCGGGCTAACTATACACTACTAGATAGCATGCGAGAGGCGATACACGCCCTGCGTTGCATCTTCTGGTGCCTCCGAGGTCGCAGAGCACGTGGATCGATCAGACCGCGGTAAGCCATCCCCGTCCGTTGCGTATTTGCATATTGGCTTTTTCGTGCTCTAGCTTTGCAACGGAGCATTTTCAGAGAAAACCGCCTTTATTTTCTGACCTTCGTCGCCCGTTGGGTAGATGGTATCGTTTCTGGGAGTGAGATGTAGACTAAAAGACACACACACACTGACAGACAAACCCAACTACTGTACCCTCGCTGCGCATGCGCGCCGAGGGTAATTAGCACAGGCTTACCTCGACTGAGTCAGCTTGCTCTGTGTACCTTGAAGGCACATGAAGTCACAACGAAGGGCATGTATCGACTCCCGCATGCTATCTACTACTGTAGCTAGCCCGTGTCAGACTCTCCGTGAGCTACGTAGTAGTGGGAGACCACGAGTAAACACACACTTATAGCCCAGCCCATCAATTAATTAGTGGTACCGTGCATCTATCTATCTACAATATATACCTATATATGGCTGGTATGCTATGAACTATAATTTCATGCGCAGTTCGCCGAGGGTTTGCACTTCAGTGCTTTTTCATTAGCTAATGTATTATGTATATTTTGTGCTATGGGTCACATTTCATCTTCAACAGTTGGAGAAATTGGTGAGTGGGTGGAAGATGTCGGAGCAGGAGAAGAAGGCCCTCTATAGCGACCTATGGAACACCTACCAGCACTCTGCCAGCAAGAGGTGGTCGTTGTAGGATGTTGTGTATTGACATATACAGTGGAACCTTCGATAAGGGGCCCTCCGAGATAGGGACGACCTCTCTACAAAGGACACTTGTTTCAACCCCATACTTTAGTCTATTATTCGACCTCTGAGATAGGGACGACTTCTCTACAAAGGACACTTGTTTCAACCCCATGCTAATACTTTAGTGTATTATTCGACCTCCGAAATAGGGATGACCTCTCTACAAAGGACACTTGTTTCAACCCCATGCCAATACTTTAGTGTATTATTCGACCTCTGAGATGGGGACGAGATATTTAGAACTGCACAATCTTTTGCATACGTGGAATTAGGCAGCACACAACAATTTCCACGCCTTTGGCATAATGCATAATGGTGTTATGCTGCTATTACATGTATGCGCATGCTTATAAAATGGTGCGTGGCATGCGTAGTGTTGAAGATCTATATATTTTGTTTTAATGGGTGCAAACTCCAATTCTAAATCCTCATTCAGTGTCAGATCAGGACTCCTAATTCAACTCCTGAAATGCTATTCTGTCTCTGAAGCCAGTCAGGTGTGTTATTTTTGTGCTGCTGTGTTCCTATGGACGTTATTTTTGTAGTCTTTGCATTCTATATCGGAGATTTTTTTGATACCTTTTATACCGCCTGTGTCCATACCGTCTCTGCCAGTTGTAGTCGTTTCACCGCCATCGTGCATACTCATGTTTTTTTGCAAATCCCAAGTAAGCCCTCATGGTTATATGTATGTTAATTGTAGCCCTTCTGAAGTTCTGTTTTCTTTCTCTTTTTCCTTCTTTCTATGTATATAGAGTGAGCTGTTCAGTTTTCATGTGTTGTTGTCTCAGGTTTTGGAGTTGTCTCGACAGCTGGTGGCTCTGTCCATCGCAGACCCTCATCTCTTCCTGATGGACCACCTCCTCGAGATTCCTCCTGTAGCCGCTCTCAGGGGAGAGAGAATCTACCAGGTGAGTAACTTGTGAGAGAAGTGTATATGTGGCTGTTTAACACTTAACCAGCCGTGGACACATAAACGTGTCCAGAGCCTCATAAGTCCATTATAGGGGGTTATAATACTAGGCGCTAATACTTTATATCAATTTCTGCTTATTTAAGCAGATACCATGCCGTCCAAAGGGTTAAAGGGAATGTGGCAGTATGTCAGGGCTAAATTTAGAAATGTTACTAAAGATAGAACAAAACAATAGGGGCACAGTGAAAGAATGCAATTGAGTTCCGTTTTAGTAACATTTCTAAATTTAGCCCTTATATATAATATGCTGCCACATTCCGTTTGTTTTGCAGGTGTGAATAAATCCTCTATTGTGTATGAGGCTGCGTTAAGTGTGTTCATGTGAATTGAATTACGCATTTCCTACTCCCCAGTTGCTGATACTCTTTGTTCAAGAGAAGCTGTCTTCATTTGTCCAGTTCTACAACTCCAACAAAGACTTTGTCGATGGTGTCGGTAAGTGCACTTTGTAGGAAACTGCGGGTGGCTTGCAAATGGTGCTATATAAATGTTTTGTACTTTCAGTAAGCATGTGGGAGACACAACTAACTTAACAAACCGTGGGTGGCTTGCAAATGGTGCTAAACGATTCATACTTTGAGTGTTCATGTGGGGGAAAGGATAAGGAGATTTATATACTATAAGCTGTACATTTTGTAGAAGGAAAGACGGTTGGGGTAGCCTAAATTTTCCGTACTTTTCGCGAGCATGTGGAGGGAAGGACAGCCCAACCAACTGTCCTTCTTAGCTGGACTTTAGCTGTAGATTGCAGTGCAAATATTTCGGGTGGCCTAAATGTTTCCACATACAGACGCCGCCTCGCTTTGCTTGCCAATTATATATAGTAGGTTGGGAGCATTTGCACAGCTTAGTTTAATCCCTCCCCCTCCCCCTCTCCCTCCTCCCTCTCCCTCCTCCCCTCCCTCTTTCCCCAGGTCTCGACTACCAGCAGGCAGTGCACAAGATGCGACTGCTGACGTTGGCATCCCTGGCCTCCGAGACCTCCCAGGTCTCATTCCAAGACCTCACCGTACAGCTGGATCTGCCCCAGGAACGAGTGGAGGCTCTTATCATTGAAGGTTCTGCTCCGGGTTTCCGTCTTGTAATGAGCTACAGTGTAACCGCAGATAAGGGACCCTCCGAGATAGGGATGACCTCTCTACAAAGGACACTTGTTTCAACCCCATGCTAATACTTTAGTGTATTATTTGACCTCCGAGATAGGGACGACCTCTCTACAAGGGACAAAATCGTTGGTCCCATAGTTCGGAGGTTCCACCATATATATGTGTGTATGCGTGTTTGTGTGTGTGTATGTGTGCATATGTATCCTTGTGACTGTGGAAGACTGTGTTGTGTGTGTATGCTTGTGTCTGTGTTGTGTTTTTAACCCTCGGCACGCATGCGCAGCGAGGGTTACTGTAGTTGGTCTGTGTGTGTGTCCGCGACTATTCTCGCACTACAGGCTACGAGGCGGCCTAAGAGCGATACCAAACGCTTCAGTGCTACACGAGCCTGAAAAACAAAATGGTGATTTTCCTGAAACGACTGCGTTCGAGGTTCCACCATATACGTATGTATGTATGCGTGTGTGTGTGTGTGTGTGTGCATATGTATCCTTGTGACTGGAAGACTGTGTTGTGTTTTTTCTCACAGCTATTCAGCTGAAGTTGATTCGAGCCAGGATCAACCAGATGACCGAGAGCCTTGTCGTCATGTGAGTTAATCCCTTAATCAACATAATTATTGTCAGCATAGCTACATACCTTTAACAGTGTGCCACACGCAGAACAACCGCGCAATTATTCAGCATATATACGCGTGGAGTTACACATGTGTGCAATGATATTCATAGCACATAGGATTCCGAACCTTTTCCCCTCTATTAAATACACACACACACACACACACACCACACACATACTCAGGAGCTCTGTCCACAGGACATTCAGCCAACCTCAGTGGCTGCTTCTGTGCGACCGCCTCTCCTCCCTCCAGCAGAGAATCCACTCCGTCAGGGCCAGTCTCTCCAACATCAAGACCTAGTAGAGATCCCTGTACAACTCTCTCCCACTCACAGCACAATTGGAGATTTTAGCTAGAATATTATAATAATATCAATGTTTCTGTCAATATTAATTCTGTCTCTTAACAAGATGTGAGACTCCTTAACACCGTCAACAAGTCACAACCTCAGATCATTACAACCTGCTGTGGGATTTCTGCGCAACTTTCAACCATGCATGTGAAAACTATGAGGTATATATAATATAGAAAGGCAAAGGCACAACAAACAAATCAACTACACCCAGGTCAGCTCTTGGAAAAATAAAGAGCTGTCCTAGGTGGGACACTGCAGTCTAGGCGAGTACTCTACCAACTGAGCTACCAGGCATGTATAGCTTTAGCTGAAAACTCGGTAATATAATACTGTATACTGTGACTCATACGTGTATATAGGTGTCTCCATTTTTTGAGGTTGACACACCTTAATTTGCCAGTGATGTTTGTAGATAATTATAATACCAACCATGAGCGAAAGATACTGTGCCGTGTTCTAAAGTGTATATTGCAGGAATAGATGTTTGTATGACTGGTGTTGCAGTGTGCAGTGGTTCTATGGTGTAATGGTTAGCACCTGGGGACTCTGAATCCCAAGATCCGAGTTCGAATCTCGGTAGAACCTTCCTTTTTCCTTTGCTCTACTGTATATTTTTAAACCCTTTTGTGTGAATCCTCAAGCAAGAAGTGGTTCTATGGTGTAATGGTTAGCACCTGGGACTCTGAATCCCAAGATCCGAGTTCGAATCTCGGTAGAACCTTCCTTTTTCCTTTGCTCTACATATATGTTATGTACTACGTGCGAGGGACATACCGGATTTCAATGAACCCGAGGGCCTCCGCGTTTGTAGTGTCCCGAGCGCAGCGAGGGCACTACGCGGATGGCGCGAGGGTTCATTGAAATCCGGTATGTCCCGAGTATACGGAGTACATAACATGTTTAGTGCAGAGCAAATCAGCTCCGTATACGCGCACTGCGTTTCCAAGCGCAGGGAATTTGAAAGATGCGAGAAAGAGATGAGAGCGCAAGACCGTCATCTCGTGCGGTACTATTGAACGCCGAACGCTAGGATACGCTGCTCCGCCACTCTAGCTACTCCCCGTTGAGGCGGATGACCACGCGAAACGTTTGAACCCGCTGCGGGACTGTCCTCCGCCACTCATCCGAAGAAACGCGACAGGAGACCTGCGCGAACCATCGCAATCAGAGAGAGGCGACAGTGGAGAATTCAGGCGCTGTGCGGGCTGCTATACCGAAGGCGTTCGCCGTCGACTTAGTAGCTTTGTCGCGCGAACTCGCTCGCGGAGCCCCACCCCCTTATTTGCGTGCGGTGGTTTGTGGCGGGCGTGAGCTGCCTGGCTATCTACTATGTATATACATGGCAAGGAGGGAGATGGGCTCGAAGCAGACACAGAAAACTGTCTCGTGGAAAAAGAAAATCAAGATATCAGTTATTTTGATCAACATTTTGTACAGATCATGTTTTGCGGGATACATTTCTTACATGAAATGCTGTTGAACTTGTTGAAAATCAACAGAAAAAACAAGGTTTCATATCATGTTTTCATGTTACTTTTGTTAGCTCACGAGGTTCATATGAGAAATCAGGAACCTCGTACTAACAAATCTGATTGGTCGATTCGAATCAGCTATGCACTAATGTATATTTTTAAACCCTTTTGTGTGAATCCTCAAGCAAGAAGTGGTTCTATGGTGTAATGGTTAGCACCTGGGACTCTGAATCCCAAGATCCGAGTTCGAATCTCGGTAGAACCTTTTTACTTTTCTTCACACAGTAATACCATCGTGATCTACCTTGATCCTGGAGAAATTGGAGAGGTATTATAGTCAGATCTGACGAAGCCTCCACAGCCCACAAGGTCGTGTTGTGCAGTGCATAAGAGACAGACAGATACACAGAGGAAGAAAGAAGTGAGAAGAACTCGTCGTATCTGCATCACCCTTGCTTTCGGTTAGCGCACCTGAGAAGAGGCCCGCAAATCTTCGATGAAGTCTCAAAACTTTGTAAGTGAGAGAGGCAGACTTGGCAAGGTATAATTATAGTGATAGTAGGGCCTGTTATTTGGTTTCCTCAGAGCTCTCCAACACATGCACCACCTGTTACTCAGGAATGCAGAACCACAATAATCATAACAATGCCTATAGTAAGACATGCTGACACATGTGTTTTAGTGGTGCATGTAGTACTATGCAGAGTGCAGCTTTATAATATTATAGGGCTGTTGTAATGACCTGTGGGAGTCCTAACTCCTCGCTAGCATCTCTGTGCTTCCACAAACACAATCCCTATCTTGTCTCCCTTTCTTTTTATACGATCCCTATATGCACTCTTTTTTTAATCCGCAGGATTTTTTATTTACTTGTCTCCACTCATTTTTATATACTACTACGTATTATCTCTGTGGAAGGGGGCAAGCCCCTATAAAAATTAATAATAGAGAAAAAATTGTCGTCATGGAAATGAAAAGCATACCATCCATGTGTGCTGCCGTTAGCAAGTTTGACGAGTGAAGAAGTAATTATAAAAAAAGTGCCTGAGGCTATTTGTTGTTGTGGTCGTCATGGAAACGATGTAATACACATGCGCACCAAGTTTCACCTCCATGCGTGCTATAGTTAGCAAGTTTGAGGAGTGAAGAAGTAATTTTAAAGAAAAGTGCCTGAGGCTAGTTGTTGTTGTGGTCGTCATGGAAACGATGTAATACACATGCGCACCAAGTTCACCTCCATGCATGCTACAATTAGCAAGTTTGAGGAGTGAAGAAGTAATTTAAAGAAAAGGTGGTTTTTATTTCTTTCTCTATCTATCTATCTATCTATCTATATACCTATGGCTGGTATGCTATGAACTATAATTTCATGTACAAAAATAATATTACTGTTTTTGAGGAACGTGATGTGTCACAGAACACAGTCTGTGCAGGTTGTCTCTAACTCCACCGGTGTGATTTAAAAATCTGTCGACAATATTACCCTGGTAGTTTCCCAGGCCCACGGTCACTAGAATGTCCACGTTGGACAGAAAATCGTTCTCAACGAATGCTGCAAACACACTTTGTAGGAGGGCAGGGCGAAAGCCCGACGGATCGTAAGACGCCACTCTGTAGCCAAAGTCGTTTATTTCCGTCTGGAAGTTCAATCGCTCTGAGAGACAATCGTTGTAGTGATGACAGCTGTTGGAACCGTACTTTCCCAAGTCGTGAAACAATGCAACGCTACTGTTAGCAACGGTGGGTAGGGCACCACTATCCAACAGCTCCCTTAGTTGCTGCATGCAGCCGGTGTAGTAGGAAGGATCATTTCCTAAGATGAGTTTCTCTCCACGGATATGTATACCGACTACTGGGCGCGTGAGATTCAAAGTTTTCGAAAAGTTCTCCGCTGCAGTGACAACGGTGGTGCTATGAGGAGCCGTAAACATTTGCGGACACGGTATGCTATTAAATCCTTGGACATAGTAAAAGAAACGCGAATAACTAGAGTCATCAATATCTCGCCAGTTATCCAGCACAACCGTGACTGCAGCACCATACTTCTCAGTATGCCGGCGAATGACAGAGTCCAGTCTTGCTTTGATTTCCAAGAGAGCAATTGAGTGTAAAGGACACGCGTCGATCAGAATTACCCGTGACCATGTAAAGGTAAACGTCTCCCGCTCTTGGTACCTAGTAAACCAAGTCCACTCATTAAGTATTCCCAAACTCTTGTTCAGTTTGTTAGTGATATTGTCCATTTCAACAATCTTCTCCTCCCCAGAGAAGTATTGCTCGTAACCGTTGAGAGATGGAAGAAACGACAGGAATATAATATTTGACGATGTCGTCACTGCAAACTCCTCGTAGGGGACAAAGTTTGTCTTTGCACAGGACCTTATAGCGCATTTCAGTTTATGATGGTCATAGAAATCAGTCAACTTAGAAAACTGTGGCGTTTTGCCATTGGGCAACACTCTAGGGACACCCATTCTACCCTTTCCGTAAATGTACGGTTCCACGATTGATAGGTTGAAAAGAGAAGCAAACACGGCAAGGTTGTAAAATCCCTTGAAAGATCCCATTAGTTGTTGGTCGTAGTCCAAAGATATCAAGTAGCCTCCAATATTGCCAGAATTGTTCCCTTTGCCACAATCATCAACTGTCTTAGTTGCTCCTCTTGTAAGCCCCACAGTTCTCGGTTTCAAAATGCCTTTGGTGTTCCAGTCAGTGCTATTTCTGGACCCTTTGGTAAGTTCAGCTCCCTTCTGTGGTTTCAGTGCCTTGCCCTGTAGCAATATTGTGCTGTTTTCTGCACTCATTTTTCGCGGCCTATTCAGCGTTGTCGCTCTTTTCTTTGGATCATCTACGCGTCTAGTCACTTGCATGAGATTTGGTTGCAGCTTGGTTGTTGTATTGCGGTGCCCTAGTCGTCTCAATGGATTGCCTGTTTCTTTTTCTTCCACTCGTCTTACCGTTGGTTTTACCTCTTCAACATGAGCCCTCTCTACAGTCAGAACCTCGGAGGAGACCAGGGTAGGTCGAACTACTGAGCACAGTGAAACTCCGTCTGTCGGCTTACCGGAACAGTTTACGGGGCTACTGTCGGCGTATGTCTTGCCGTCTGAAACGATGCTCAGATCAATCCTCAGCCGTCTTCTGGCGACGAGAGATTGCTGTGAGTCCGAACCCAGGTAGTAGACGTCGGGGGTTCGCCAGCAGCGCCATAAGGAAAACGACACGTTGAGCAGAGTTAGGAGCGAGAATGCCACCAGTCCCAGGAACTTTCTGCGCCTCCACGTCATTTCCACTCCCGATTTACAGTAGCTACGTATACACTGGGGCTCTAGGTTGTCTCCAGGTTTGCACATGCATACAAGCTAGCGCTTGTGCCGCTGGCTAGTATATACAGTACGCAAGAGTAGGCCAGGCGCAAAGTGCGGCTAGCGCGGCATTTGTTGTGCAGCGGCGTAATCCGCATGCGCAGTTGAGAATACGGACCGGCCAGTGTCCAGAAGGTCGCCCACAGCCACTGCAGAAGGTGTGTTTCTTCAACAACCGTGGGTGCGCGCACGATGATAGTCTTTGCCTTGGCGGTAGCTCTAGCTATAAAATCCAC